GAAACAACATAATACATAAATACTCTCTCTCTCTCTCTCTCTCTCTCTCTTTTCCTTCATACTCTCTCTCTCTCTCTCTCTTTTTCCTCATACTCTCTCTCTGTCTCTCACACACACAAATTGGTTAAATATCATATTTTATCGTTCTCCATCTTTCTAGTATTTATATCTAAGTATGAGGGATGCCTTTGTTATACATGGTAAGAACTTCTCTTATAGCTATTAAGCTAATAAAGAAAGGGGTGATTTATATAAACCGACAACTTTAATCATTAAAATAAGATTGCAAAGTTCTACAAAATCTATTTTGGTTTAAATGGTTTAAGATATCTTTTAAAAACGTCAATAGTTGACATATCTTTTAAAACAATATTAAATATATACTATCCAACTAAAACCTCCCTTCTCCAAGAAAGGTTACTACAACTTTTTCTTTAATGAAGAAACAATCATGAAAAGGTAAAATCTTGAAAGCCATATAACACCCACATATGTAAATGATAGAATGAGATCATTTATCTTTAGTACAAGGTGGTCACAATTAATCTTGACCATTGGATATGAATTTTGATAGCTGCATTTATTCCATTGACCAAGTTCAAACTTCAAAAAAAAAATTTCCAAACTTTATGACTCACCCAAACTATCAAATTTCACATTGGATGGTTGTAAGTAATTGTGACCATTTTGTATAAAAGATGATATGGTTTTATTGTATATCATCCTTAAAACATATCATCATTACACGCTTTCAGAAAAAGAATAATAATAATAATAATAATAATAATAATGATTTTCCATTCTTAAACAAATAGATGATAAAAATTGGATGGTCTTTGTTCCATAATTTTCTTTGTTTATATATATATATATATATATATATATATATATAAACAAAGAAATTGATATGCTCCTGTGAAGCATAAAATCTATTGGCCTTTGCTTTTAATGGACAGAAACATTAATTTCCAGAGATTTATATTGATATCAGAGTTATGGTACTCACTGACAGCCAGGGATGAATACATCTTTGTCAGTAGCAGCTGCCATCAACTGAAGCTCCTATTGAACCTCAAATAACTCCTTCCCTTCCATAAAGCTGCTACCAAATGCAGTATGAGATATTATATCGGCAGTTAATTCTCTAAATTCACTGCCCACTTCTATCTCTGCACATTGATTCTCCATTGCCACCAACTTGTGTTGCCATCTATCAAGCATTCTCAAAGTGCAAGCTGCCATTCTCTTTGCCATTCGCTGCATCACATCATAGCAAATATGCATTAGAATTCTTACCTATAATATCCCCAAACATACATCATGGCAGGATTGGGATATACATTGAATTGGGGTAGGTCATCTTAATTTGAAATAGAGTGAGGTTCTAAATATTGGATAATCGCTTCCAAAATTCATGCCTTTACTTAACCTTGGATAGTAGAGATGAGTAACTATTCTCGTTTGTAGAACAAGGGCAGCCTTAAAAACAAGAAATAATCCCATGCCGCCTATGGATAGGTATGAATGGTGGATGTTGGGTTTGAGTATATAACATGATACTTGTACCTAAATGTAAAATATTTCCTAAAGAAGCTTAACTTTGGGTTTGAGTATATAACATGATACTTGTACCTAAATGTAAAAATATTTCTTAAAGAAGCTTAACCAAAATTATCAATTGCTTACCCTTGTCATGATTTTTAGTAAAAACATATAGTGGTGTTATGGGCACAAAAATATGTCATATCAAGATCCCGATGGGATATTTGTGGACATGTTTTTACGGAGTTGATGTAACATATTGGTTGCCCATGACACTATTCTTGGTTGTTGATTACATTCCTATATTGAAAGGTATCTTTGTTGTCAATTTCTCTTTATTTCTCTCTCTTTCTCAACTCAAATTAGTCGCGGATGAATTGAAGAAACAAAGAAAATGTACTGAAGTATAAAAGAGTCCTTCTCTACCACAACAATCGGAATAAACGGTTTGTCAAAAAAAAGCATGCCCAACGTTGAGCTGGTCTTTTTAATAATACCAATATTTTAAAAATTGGGCTCATGTCCACATTCTCCAGATTCGCCAGGGCATTGAGCCCGAATCCATCACAGAATCAGCTAAGATGGAGGCCGAATTCTAGATCCGACTCAACTACTCCAAGGGTACATTTGGTTCGTGTGGAAAATATTTCTTGAGAAATATTTTCAAATGAAAGAAAAATTTCATGTGGTTAGATGTGAGAATATTTTCACACTAATTAGCTGTAGTGTGAATAAATGCTAGGACCATGAGTGTGAAAATATTCTCACACCTAACCACAATGCTAGGATCAATTAGTGTGAAAATATTCCGACATCTAACCACGTGAAGAAATTTTTTCACGTAAAAATAATGAGATTCATAAGATCTTTGAGTTTCTTCCTCCAAAATTGGCAAGACCCTAATCCAATCAAAATGCGGCAAATCCCGAGTCAGACTGAAGAGTTTTAATCACTAATCGATACCAACCTTGAGCTTGTCGATTTGAAAGGCAGCGCTAAGCATTCTCCTCCTCCACGCCCAATCACTTCCAGTGGCTAACACGAGCCCATTGCCCAATAGGGCTCTTATAAAAGGCCTCGACTTTTGTTTAGTGTAGAAACCAAACTTCTTAGACAGCTACTCATTGACTAGTTCTGGATCTCTAATGCATATTCTTGGTTGTGTTCCATACCAGTATAAAAATGTTTCCCCTGTCACAATACCAAAAAAACAGAAAAAAAGTAGGGCAACCCCCACCTTATAACTCAAATTCCATTGCACAATTTGGGACTTTATAATAAAGATCAGAGATATGACCTTTTTAAGCTATGGTTATTGATCATGCTATCATTATTTAGCTTAGCTGAA